ATAAACAAATTAAGCACTTTTCTTGTTTTTTTGCAATAACTTTTTTGTTTATTAACCGATTTTAATTTAACAAGTCTCATTTTGTAGATAATTTTACTCCCTACAAGCTGTCTGTGAGTCACTTTTCGCTAAAATTGATGGTTTTCCCTGCAAAGTGAAAAAACTGTTTTCCTCACTTATTTGTTTAAATGGAAGTTAGCTATTAAAAGTTTTTGACTCACGAGATGAGAGATGTCTTGTATTATGTTCCTTTAGGCAATTTTACAATAATCTGGCGGATAGGACTTTTTTCGAGTAAAAATTTTATTTGCTTGGCCTACTAGTATAACATATCTTTTCAGAGCCAAGCAAATCATTTCTTTCATTTTTAAGGATAATTTTGGAGGAATACTTCAGAATATTCGTTTAGACAATTTTTACTCATGCGATTCTTTGGCCACTGTCCTTCTTACCTGTCAATTAAATTAGACTTTCGAATTCGGCCCCAATGCAAATTTTTCTCTACTAGTCAATTACCAGCACAATAAAACCCAAGGGTTATAATTATTTATCGCAGCGCACCAACACCGGGTAGTCAAAATGGGAACATATCGATCACCGTCTAGAAGCGGAAGGTCATTTTTTATTAGACCACTTCATTTATGTTGCCGCTGTAAGGAAAATCACCAGTACTCGAAGTCAATCATTTCCATCATTAGAAATGATTCAACTGCTGTAACCGTTACGCATGGAACAAACGCATTCCTTTCTTAGTGAAAACCTAATATCATGTTAATATTCGCCGCTGTCGTTTTCTCTTGCTTTTTCGAATAACCGTCTCCGCTTCGCTGGTTCTGTTTACAGTCCCGTCGCCCACCTGTTTAATTGCGAGTTTAATTAATTGGTGTACCTTGCGAACGGCGAGGACGATTTGAGAACGGTTTCAGTGATTGTGTAAGTCTCCTACGCGGGAACAGCGATGGGCAGCACGGCGAGTGTCGTGAAAATCTGTTGTGGAGACGAAGAGGATGTGGGGAATACGAAAAATCATAACAATAATACTTGGTGAGTGGCATGTCAATATTTACTGACCCCGATGGGGTTGTTGTTTGTTGTGGAACTGTCGTCTTCGATGTTAGCGGTAGATTAATCACTGGTTTCCTGTCGCATCGCTGTTGATGTGTTGATGACTGTTTCCTTTCTGGTACCTGTGACTTTAGTAAGCGATAACAGTTTAAGACTGTTATTAAGAGATCTGGACCGGTGAGGTCAATTTGTTGTTGAGATGTAGTCAACAATTTGTATTGTTGTTATGTTTTGGATTTGTTTGCACTTTTGCACTCGGCGCAATATAATATTTCCATATTTTATTGTTTGAGCTGATAGTACAGAAAAAATATAATCAGTGTGCATTAAGGTAAATAATTCGAGAACGCTTTTAGTATACGAATTTAGTATTACTGTGGAAAACACCAGACAAATATATCATTAAAAATTAATGCGTTCTTGAGATGATGATCTTCATAATGCGGAAATAGATAAACAGATAAACATTCACTGATAATATTTTTAAAATCACTTTCACATGCGTTAATATTAGAGTAGAAGGTCTGCATAATAAATAATGGAATAATATAAAAGATGCAAGGGGGAAGAAACTTCAAAGAAAAAACCTGAAAATGAGCCCCCAGAAACTAACTAAAAATAACATAAATTAATTTAGAAGGGACAAAAAATGGGGAGGAGCCCCATACACATGGGTTTAGACTGTCAATGATCTCGTCCCTCCAACGATTAGAAAAAGAAAATTGTAATATCGAATTAATGCAATTTCAGATGTCCTTAGATCTTACCTTTTTTAACTTTGCATCTAGAAAAAATAGTAAAGACTAATGAATGTTTAAGAAAATTGCCTTGCGGTTTCGAAGAAATATAAAAAAATTATTTGACTTCTGTATTTTGAAGATATAAACCAATCTTTTGTTTTTGAAAATGGAACAACTCAGTTGATTTTTTAAGTTTTACTCAAAAAATCAGTCGTTTTTCGAAAAACATTACAGAGTAGTAATTTGCAGAAAATTGAAACACGAATCCGAAAATATCATGGTTGTTACTGTAAAGCAGTGGCGTACTATTTTATTTAAAAATATATATCACCGATACCCTGTATTTCCGCCACTGGGGCATGTAAATTTTAGGAAAAGCCCTCAGATTTTGGACAATGTTTACATGAATACATGTGGCCAATTTCAAATTATTTCACTTACTAGTTTTTAAATTATTTAAAAAAATTAAAAATATTTTTTGAAGTTTATCTTTTTAACGAAGCGTCCTAGATAAAAACTTTGTAGGAAAGACTCTCCTTAAAATTCACCAAAGAATACGAAGTTTCATTTCTGGTCACCATTTGTGAATCACCATGTATAATGAAAAAAAAAGATAGGAAGTCTGTTATCGAACACAATTATTTTGTCTAATTGATAAATATAAAAGTCCTCTATTTCAATTAAATTTATCTAAATTAAAATTCAACTCATGCATGCTAATATGTTGTTGATTATATTTTGAGGACTTTGACAAAAACAAAATGCGTACTGTTTTCAAGAAAAGTAACAGACTATGTTAAAACAATATTTTGCAGGATTTGTGGTCGTGGTCGATACGGCTGTTTTGATGGTTGTTGTATTCAATGTCTGTCACTGACCTGTTTTTAGTCTCGTCAATTTTAAAATTTACAATGAAAATTCATTTTCTCAAGCACAAAAAAGGCCAATGTTTCATTTTAACAAATTCCTAATACTGTAACAAAAAAATACTATTTAAATTGTACCAAAAAAATAGTATGTGCAGAGGAATATGATGACAATTATTGCAATAGCGATCATCATTACACAATGTTTTCAGCTACAAAAAATTGAATAATTCCTAATATTTCGAATTTTTACCACCAAGAACGGCGGTGACAACATTTTTAATAGTAAGGCGATGTTTCGTATTACAGTAGCTACGTCCTGTCCAAATTTGGTTAGTGCAACTCTATCGGTTTCGAAAATTCAATACCTATGTATGTTTTCAGCCACGAAAATTGAATAATTCCTAATATTTCGAGTTTTCACCACCAAGAACGGCGGTGACAACATTTTTAACATTAAGACGATGTATGGAACTTCATTAAAAAATATATATTCATTTTAAGGGCATATCAGGGTCAAATGGAACACAACGATGATGTCAATACGACAAATTTCATTTTCGTCATGTCCGTTATACAATAAAATTTATGGTTGACCACCATCGCCTCCCAGTTTGTTACATAAAACAATGCGTTTGAAAAAATGTTCGTTCCTCTAATAAACATTGTAATAACCACCAGGAAATTTCCCCAACTTAACAAATATTTCCGTAATAACCTTCATTACGTTCTTCAAAGCTATAATCATCTTACCATTCCCTCATCACGTTTATGCATTACAAAAATGTTAGTATATAATTAAAAATTATGCTTCATACAAATTATTTCATTATCTTGCAATGTCTTGACCTACATAGCGGACAAATCTACACCTTAACCCACCACCAAATTACAATTTTCCACTTAAAAAAAATAAAGTTTTTCATCACGTTAACCCTCTCACGTTTACGTATTTTTTTCTTGCATTCGAAACCGAAACTCAATGAACCTGAGAGACGATAAGGGCATTTTTATTTACATTGGGCTTTATCTATCATCTCGCCAAGCGGCGATTAGTATTTTGGTATAAATACGATGCCGTTAAAATAACTCTTTAAAGCTTAGCAAGTCGGTGTTGGGTGTACACGCGGTGTCTAGTGCAAGGATGGGCTCCAAAGTTTTCAATCATTTCACGAACATGGTTCATCAGCATCAAACGCAAAAGTAAGTAGGTGCTGCGATTGACACTAGCAACCTTCATTTGTTCTCGAGTTAGTATTCGATAATCTAGTGACCTAGCGCAAAGAGTTGCAGATCTAATTGGTCTAGTCGTGATTGTGGAGTTTTGATTGATAACGATATTGATTAGAGGTTAAAAGTCGAAGTTAGAAGTTGACTGACAACCAGAATGGACTTTAATTGTTATAGTTAGGATTTAAACTGACAATGAAATCATTTTTGGTCATTAAATCCTTATAGGACCTGTGCTTGTATAACTTTATCAACAGCTGACAGCGGCAAAGAACCCTAATATTAACTTTAATACTACGTGACATATTGTTTGATAGTTAATAATTTTTCTCACATTTTGACTGATAATATGCTATTTTACTAAATTCGAATGAATTCGTCGATATGAAGAAACAATCTAATTTTTAGGTTAGGAATCTGCCCCGAGCGTTGGCTCATGTTTTCTGAAACGCCCTGTATAAATAAACAAAGCCGTGTCAGGTTACTAGGTTACGGAAATCCTACACAAGTACCTACTATGAAATATCTAACATTGCAATGCTTTTATATCTATCACTATTAGACCAAAGTCGATAATTTTTGAAACCAAAAAAAATTATAGTAGGATGAAACCCATTGGAAAAGAAAGAGAATATAAGAGAAATGAAAGGAAAAATAATTTACGGCCGATCTGAGGTCGGGAAGGGGTAGGGGGTGAGTTTTTAAGGGTAAAAAACGGTTTCCCTTGATTTCCAGAAAAACTACAAGTCTTATGGAAAAAAGTTAAAT